TTATCTTTAAAAAAAAAAAAGCATGCTGGAAAATTGATAAAGTTTATTAAATTCATTTTTGCTTTCGGTACTTTATTGCATTAAGCCCCAGATTGGTTAATGAGTGCTTTTTTAGAAGAGGTGAAAATCTCAAGATGATCTGATTTTCAGACGAGATTCATTTCTTAATTTCTTGAATTAAGATGAAACTTAGAAATGGAGCATTATATACTGCGTCGTCCTAAGAACTGCTTCTTCTTGAGAAATAGATATTCCTTTTATATTCCATTACCAAGACGAAAGTTCAAATCCACTCTTCCCGAGAACTGCTTCTTCCCGACAAGTGCATCTACACGAGAAATGCTAGTTCTCGAGGTTTGCTTCTTCCTGAGAACTGTTTCTTCCCCAGAACTGCGTCTTCCGGAGAACTGATTTTTCTAGAGAACAGCTGCATATTCTCGAGAACAGCTTTTACCCGTGAACTGCATCTTCCCGAAAACTGCTTCTTCCCAAGAACTGCTTTTCCCCGAGAACTGCATCTTCTCGAGAACTGCTTCTTCTCGACAACTGCTTTTTCTCTAGAACTGTTTCTTCTCGAAAACTGCTTCTTCCCAAGAACTACTTTTCCCCGAGAACTGCATCTTCCTCTGAACTGCATCTTCTCGAGAACTGCTTTTACCCGAAAACTGCTACATTGGGGGAACAGATCCGTGAAAGGTTCCCTTTCCCTTTTGTTTTTATTTTATAATCGTTTCATCCGAATCAAGGCGATAATTCCAGAAAGAGTCAAGTGGGGGAGTTAGAGGTAGTGAAAGGGGATGAGAAACTTTTAATGGGGAGGTGTGATAAAAGGACAATAGATGAACGTGGATCAGGAACACAGAAGATAAACTCTAGTTAACAGGGCAGGACGTTGGATTAAGTACACATTTTATAAGATATACTTATATTGTTATTGGGGAGCATACTCCCGTGAAAATGCTTCCCTAAAATCATTACAATCTCTACTTCTCCACGTCTTGGGTCAATCATTATCAATTCTTGATGTCCTCATAATCTGCATTACCCCTATTTCACGTCTGCACGACAAACTCAGTCATGAAGTATATTATCGGAGCGGTTCTCGGATCATATATCGGGAGGATATTTATTTATTTTTTTTTTAAAGTGGCCTTGATTATTGATATGTCCCATAATGGACTGGTTCTCGTCGTAGTGGTAGGCAATAGACGAGGACGATAGGCGTAGTCTATGTACCTCCACATCAGTCTGTATTTATGTCTGACACCAGCCAATTATAATGCTGTGTGGGGGAACCCAGGTGTATGCATATTCATTACATCAATTATCCGCTCGTCAGACTATTATACAAGGTGATTGAAAAGTAACTCCCCATTTTATGTATGATGGACTCTCCCGTCTGTCTATATTTTTTACACGACGGAAGAGTCCATCATACATAAAATAGGGAGTTACATTTCAATCACCCAGTGTGAAGGGAGAGCAAACAAGTCTATTTATATTTATGATGGACTCGTCTCGTAAAAATTATAGTTAGACAGGAGAGTCATTCAAACAAGATAAAATGGCACGTTACTTTTCAATCAGCCTGTAGATCTAGCGGAAACTATTAAAATATACAATTCATACATCCCCACTTACCCCCCCCCAAAAAAAAAACGAAAAGAAGAATAGAAACGAAAAGGAAAGAAAGCTTGAGATCTAATTAGTAGCTTCTCGCATATCGGCTGTAAATAACATCCTGGGAGCTGTGCAAACCCATTTTGAAGGCAGTGCGTTGTGGGTGGTGGTGAGTGAGGATGGAGAAAGAGAATGCGATAAGGAGAGACGCTGCTTCGCGTAAAGAAGACTTTACCTAAGTATAGTAGGTAATTCACGTTGACATTGGCAGATGATGAAAACGTGAAAATATGACCGGGGTGGGGGTGGCGTGTGAAAGGTGGCGTGATAGTTAATAGCTGAATGTCAATAACATGGGTTTTGAATAATTACCATTAAGAATATTTTTCGCTTATTTATTTGTATTTTTTTACCAAGTACAGATAGGGTGTGTAAGTAATGTTTAAGTGCTGGGGAGTTTGTTTGTGTCTTAATAAAATGATGTCGTAATGATAATCGAGAATTATATATATATATATATATATATATATATATATATATATATATGAAGAGAATGAGGGTGATCTACATAGGTTTCAAGCTATTCGATAAATATATATGTCAGTATATATGTGTGTGGGCGCGTGTGTGAGTGTGCATGTGTGTTGCTTTCCTAACATAGATAATAAGTACAGACAAATATATTTGAAGAGAAGGACGTAGATAGATAGATAGATAGATAGATAGATAGATAGATAGATAGATAGATAGATAGATATATCTGAACAGACTGGTATAGATATGAACAGACTGAGATACATAGATAGATAGATAGATAGATAGATAGATAGATAGATAGATAGATAGATAGATAGATGGTAACAGACTGAGCTAGCTAGATAGATAGAAACAGACTAAGATGATGGTGACAGACTGAGATAAATATATATATATATATATATATATATATATATATATATATATAGATAGATAGATAGATAGATAGATAGATAGTGACAGACTGAGATAAATAAATATATATATAGATAGATAGATAGTTAGTGCCAGACTGAGAGAGATAGAACAGACTGATATATAAATATATATATATATATATATATATATGTGTGTGTGTTTGTGTGTGTGTGTGTATGTATATATATATATATATATATATATATGCTTGCATGACTTAAATACACACACACACACACACATATATATATATGTGTGTGTGTATATATATATATATATATATATATGACTTAAATGACACACACACACACACACACATATATATATATATATATATATATATATATATATATATATATGTGTGTGTGTGTCTATATATATACGAGAGATAGAGGAGAGCATATAGATAGATAGATAGATAGATAGATAGATAGATAGATAGATAGATAGATAGATAGATAGTGCCAGACTGAGATAGAGAGATAGGAACAGATATATATATATATATATGCTTACATAACGTAAAAAAACACACACACACACACATATATATATATATATATATATATATATATATATATATACGAGATAGATAGATAGATATGAACAGCGTAAGATCAAAATGAGAGAGATTGTCATAATGTTTGTAAGGTTTTTTTTTCTTTTTTTTAAATTTCATTGCTTTTATTTGTAACCTCGTCGCCCGCCTTCCTTAATTCCCAATGTTAATGGATTTTTCCTCCGAGGTGTGGTCGTTCGGAAAACTCTTCTGTTGACAGAATCATTAATGCGCAACAAATTTTCTTATCGATCTCCGTTTCTTCCTGCGTGTGATGTTAGAAAGAGAGAATGACACAGAGAGAGAGGGGGGAGGGGGAAGAGAGAGAGGGGGAAAAGAGAGAGGAGGGAAGAGAGAGAGGGAGAGACTGTGCGCGTCTGTGTAGGGCAGAGAGAAATTAGGAAGCTAGCAGATAATGTGGAAGTGTGTAAAAACAAATACGTAGAATGCAGCCGTACCGCTTCTATATGCACGGTGTGGCAATGGTTAGCGGCTCGGGTTGTGAAATCGACGAATCGAGTTCGAATTTCGGATTCAGTTTGTAACATTCACTTACGAGCTATTAGTTTGGTGCAAAAATAATGACGTAATAATGTCGTTTTTTGACGTTATACGTCAAAAACCGACATTGTTACGTCATTACTTTTGCACCAACCTAATAGTACCCTCGCGAAATGCATTAAGCTTTCTTTTCTATCACTCCGTTTATGAGTAAATGGCTGTAAAGTCTGGTTCCTATAAATTTATTTCTTTACAAACTGATAAAAATAACTTTATAAAAGATAATTAAAAAAGATATCTCATTGTACTTGATTCATATGTTTCTATAATCTCGTAAATAAACATTGCTGAGGGAGTCTAGAGTGTATACAGCAATAGTGGCGTCAAAGGAATAACTGTCTTTTGACAGTTTTTTTTTTTTTTTGCAGGCACGATGGTCAAACATTGCCACCATTTTCATTATCAAGCCAAGCTTATATTGAAATATTAAGTAATATTTTACATAAATTAATTACGGAGCTTGACTAAACGTAATGAATTTTGTTATCAAACCAGAATTAAAACGGTGCAATCCTGTCAAAATCTTTGGGATGGAAGTCAATTGCTCAATAATGCATTCAAAATTTAAATATATTTCAAGGTAGTTGATTTGTTTGAATTTGTTTAGCAGTATATCAACCTCTATAAGGTTATACAATAAGGAAATTCAAGTATTTTTGTACGCAAATTTATGGCCTCATTTTGAACACAATTGTAGGCCTTCAACTACAGATCAAAAAGTATTGTCGGTCATTTTACTATAAATAGATATTGTTGGTAATTTTTTTATATAATAATGTATTGCTGGTATTTTTGCTTTTGTTTTTGCTTGGGGTGGGGTCACTGTTTGTCCATAGCTGGGACCCTAACGGGTGCTACCGCCTATAGCCTTGGTTGGCGAACGGTGAAGGAGAAGAACAACTCTGAATTTAAAAGGGATACTTGGGTTATTGTGGGACACTCTGCATCAGTTTCCCATATTCGGCTCTTCCAAAAGGTGTGTTTGGTTGCAAAGGGCTACAGGACTTTAAACAAATGCTATGTGCAGGTAGACAGGGTGTTTTTTTTTAAATTTTCAAATATATTTCCTATTTTTAAATTCCCCCGTGTGTCTTACATCTTTCGCCCAAAACTATTCTTGATATATACACACGTACATACCGTTATCCCATAGATAGATAACAGCTGACGTATAAATATGAATAGATTTTGATAGAATTTGATAGATAGATAGATAGCAAGTGATTATTGAGATAGAGAGATAGAAAGATAGATTGATTGATAGATAAATAGAGAGATCAAATGATTATTGAGTTAGATCAAGTGATTATTTAGATAGATAGCAAGTGATAGATAGATATGAAAAGACTGAGATAGATAGATAGATAGATAGATAGATAGATAGATAGATAGATAGATAGATAGATAGGGTCGGGGTTTGTTTATTGAGATAGATTATATTATATGATATTATATCAGATAGATTATATGATATAGTGATTATTGAGATAGATAGATAGATAGATAGATAGATAGATAGAAAGAAAGAAAGAAAGAAACAAACATATTGGGATAGATAGATAGATAGATAGATAAATAGATAGATAGATAGATAGATAGATAGAAACAAACAAACAAACCGACTGGGATAGATAGATAGATAGATAGATACATAGATAGATAGATAGAAATAAAACGAGAAAGAAAGAAACAAACAAACAAACAAAACCGACTGGAATAGATAGATAGATAGATAGATAGATAGATAGATAGATAGATAGATAGATAGATAGATAGATAGAAATAAAACTAGAAAGAAAGAAAGAAACAAACAAACCGACTGAGATAGATAGATAGATAGATAGATAGATAGATAGATAGATAGATATGAAAAGACTAGGATAGATAGAGAGATAGATAGATATGTCATCATTGCTATTGTCAACACCAGTGATTTTCAACCTGTGTGCCTTTGCACACCGGTGTGCTGTTTTAGAATCGTAGGTTTGCCGCCAAAGTTTTTAAGGGTCATTAATTAAATTATTTTCGAAAGCAGTCCAATGCACAATAAATTTACACATCCAAATCAAGACCCCCCCTTTAAATTGATTATATATGTATAATATCGTTATAATAAATAAGCGTATACATCATATAAAAAAACAATAATATTAAATGCAAGTTAAATTTTTTTTTTAATTGAGCAACAATTGTTGACCGATCCTTGGAGGAAGATTTCGGATCTGCCTCCTTAAAAAATATCAATTTTAGATATGCAATTAAATGCTAAATTGTCATAGATAGAAAAGATATTAACAATTTCATTACAAATTATTATACATAGTATTTTTTGTGCTAAATAAATCATGAAAAATATAGTCATTTTTGATTATCATAACGGAATTTTGCCGCGCAAATTTAACTAAACGTTCAAGTGGGCAATGAGATACAAATGGTTGGGAAACATTTTCAGCCAAGAAGATAACTTTTTTTTATGTATTTTATTTAGACTAAAATAACGATAGCCGGTTGACCAAAATGCTCCCATGCGATGTGACCATTTATTTTTTTATATATCTATAGGTCTACCATTCGTCCATGCTTAGAATATTGCTGCCATAGACAAGTCTGAGTGAATTGGAAACCCTACCGAGATTTAGCATTGGCGGCCACAATCTTTACAACATAAGATACGCAGATGACACAGTACTGATAGCAAATACGGAAAAGAAATGACAAAACCTCCTACAGAAGGTAGCGAAGGAGAGCGAGAAGAAAGGACTAAGCATAAACTACAAGAAGACAGAATGCATGGTCATCAGTAAAAGGACGAGCCCGAAATGAGATTTGCAGGTCAGGGACACTAGAATCAAGCAGACGTGGAAGTTTAAATATCTAGGAACTGTTTTGGCAGAAAACGGTAAATGCGACACTGAGATCCGTAGACGTATTGAAATGGCCAAGGTTGCATTCCAAAAGCTAAACAGAATATTGCAAGACAAGATGAATTTTTTGGTTACAATTAAGACGATACTGAGCTGTTACGTGACATCTGTCCTCTTTTACGGCAGCGATATGTTGGACAAAGATATAGAAGAGATTCGTGACGACGAAGATGTGGTTCTACAGAAGGATGCTGAGGATATCATGGACCGATCGTGTGAGCAACGATGAGGTTTTGGAGAGGAAGCAAGCAAGGAGGAGGCTTATAGAACAACGTCAGATTTCCCGTGATGTACTCATCCTCTTTCGGTTTGGTTAGGTGTCAGAAGACATCACATCGACCGAGCAGAAACACTCGTCATTCATTGTACAGAATATTCTCAACTCTCTCACGGGATATACTGATAGCTACTTGATTCATATTCATCAGAATGTACTGAAAACGATCAATGTTTCCTTCGGTGGGGGCTGCACTTTCGATCTCCTCAGAGATCGTCCTCGGTGTGAAGTACAAAGACAAAATTATTGTAACTATTATCATTGTGATGGTGTTTTTTTTAAAAACACGCATGAACGCGCTCTGTTATAATTCTTTTAATATTTAAAATTTATTCGTTATAGCCATGGATTTTTTTTGCAAAACAAGCGTCTCCATACAAGTGGGCTAACTAGAAGTTGGTAGAAATACAAAATGGCATTATATATTGGTTAAATGCACTTCAAAAACATTCTGCTACACTAGTAATAAATTTTGTTCAGTATTGGTTGGTTGCTTTTGATATAGAGGGCCTCGAAAATTTGAAGTTTTTGCTTATTATTTTCGTGGTGTAGTATATATATATATATATATATATATATATATATATATATATATATTCATGAATTATTCACACAAAAACAAATGCAAAGGTTAATGATTTAATTAGCGAGAAATCCATCATCGCAAACAATTCAAATAATATACAAAAACCTCCGAATCCGTTATGAATGAAATGATCCTTGTTTCCATAAATTTCTGCCGTATTAGTTCTTATTTTTACTACAAGCTTTCGTATGTTCCTACAGACATCTTCAGGTATAGAATAGATGTTGTTCTTGTTTTTTCTCTTAGTAATAAGAGGACAACGAAAATATATGTATTGTTGTATCCAAAAATGCTATTGAAAATGAGTTATTGTTTTTTTGGAGCGCGCAGTAGCAACGCTGAGTTTGATTTAAAATTTTTAAAGGTTGTGCGTTCATATAAAATATATATCGTGGAGTTATCAAGTTATTTTCCTGTATTGGATTAAATGTATTTACGTAGGAAAAATGCAACGGCGCGTATCTTTCTGGAGTTCATTTTAACATCAAGAAACTGAGAACGAGAAAAGATTACTATAAAATAAACTGACATAATATGTCTATATTATACAATGAAATATATTTGAATGAAGATAAGCTGCCTAAGCGTCTTAGCAACTGTACCAACGGGCCTAGGTGACGTAGGAGAAACTGAATAGACTGCGTTGTATCGAAACAGTCCGGGTTCGAATCTTGGAAGTGGATGCGCATTGCTGGTGAGTCCCAAAATTAGCACGAAACAGCCGTCCAGTGTTTTTTGCATTCTGTTGGGGATTCTTCTAGACTCGATGATTTACTATAATGATTTGGCTAAATCAACAAAATTCTATTACTTATATAAATTCTATCACTCATATATATATATATATATATGTATATATGTGTGTGTGTGTGTGTGTAAAAGACAATAGGAAAACTCTAATATTAGCGACGCGTTACGTCCAATGTGGACTTTTTCAAGGCAAAAACGAAATGAATTTATTGAAACAAAGTAACTAATAATAGCAAAACAAAATGTCCTTAGCAACTGGATGTATTTAAACAGTTAACAATATGAATATAATAGCGTTTTCTAAATTCTTACAATTGCTAAGGACATTTTACACACCAAAATTACACAAAAATATCTTCAAATACTAAAGAGTAAATATATTCAACAAAATCGCCATTGGCTTCAATCACGGCCTCCAGACGACTTCGGAATCTCTTGCAGCTGTTCTGGACGGCCTCCTTCTTTAAGTTTGTGAATGCAGCCATAATCCTTGCCTTCAGTTCATCTTCAACTGCTCTCCACACATAATATTCAAGGAGCTTGCAGTCTGGGGAGTAAGGAGTGATCTGGTCGCAGAAATTGTCTGACAGCAGTAACTGGTTCTCCTGCTTGTGTGGCATGGTTGGTGCAGAGTCCTGTTGCCAGACGTAAAGTGTTACAACAGTCACCTTCTTTACCCAGGGTAGCACTACCTCCTGAATGCACTTGATACACACACATATATATATATATATATATATATATATATATATAGAGAGAGAGAGAGAGAGACCGGGTGTTCATTGTTCGTTTGCGAGATTAAGCTTTGAAACGTTGTATCTTAGAAATGATTAAAGATATATTACGGGAACTCTATGAGGTTTTAATAACACTTTTCGACACAATTTTGATTAAATAAGAATCATGATGAAATTGATCATAAACGAAAATGACATGTTCGCCATTAATTAATCCCAACTTAGGATCGGAAGCTCATGAAGGATAGAAATAAAGTTCATATATATAAATATATATATATATCTATATATATATATATATATATATATATCAATCCAGGATCATTTTCCAATTTATTCAAGATTACCTTCGCCCTCTCTAAACGTCTCACTTTCTGTTGTGGAGTAACAAGTTGTCTAACAGGTTTCACGTACGATTTCATTTTTTAATTCTTTTTTCACTGTCATAGCCGAAACTTCTCTCTCACGTTCTAAAAGTCTTATAAATTGAGTTGGATCTTTTCTAATTGATCCTTTTAGCTCTAAATTGAAAATGATGATCCCACTTGCGGTTGTGGCCTCCTGATCCAATTTTCCCCTCTTCTCTCCTTTTTAAATTTATTCACCGTACTCTTGATGGTTCTTGAAATGGACCTTGAAGAATGATGCCAGAGTATGAATATTGATACCATTACTGAAGGCCTGAATGACCTTTTACTCTCACCATTGCTCATTTGGGAAGACAGTGGGGCTGACACAAAACGATAGGCGGCGGTGGGATCATAACATGGGCTGGGATTATTGGTAATGAGCTCGTGGGTCCATTTAAACTGAAAGACGGGGTTAAAATGAATTCTAAAAGTGATTTTCTAGAGCAATATTTCTTTGAATGGCTTGATAACCAGTCTTTAGCCAAGCATAGATCTATGATCTTTATGCAAGACAACGCACCAAGTCATGCATCAAAGTTTACTAAATCCTGGTTGAAAGAAAAGGGATTTGTTAAAGATTCTCTTATGGACTGACCTTCAAATAGCTGTGACTTGAATCCCATTGAGAACCTTTGGAGCATCCTCAAGAGAGATATTTATTCTAATGGAAGGCAATTCAACAGCAAGTGTGACCTGTGGGAGGCAGTTAAAGTTGCTGCAAACAACTTACCAGCCGCTAAATCTAACATCAGATGTTGACAATAGGCTGCAAAGAGTTATTGAAAAGAAAGGAGCATTTGTTCAATAAATTTTAGGAGGTTATTATTATTTTTTGTTAAAATATCTTTTATTTTTAAAATAATTTTTTTTTATGTTTTTCCTTTAAGAAGTTGACGAATTTGTTCTAAAATCTTTTCATATTATTTTTTTCCTTTAGTTTTATAAGGTATAATAATGTAAAAGTATCAAAATAACTACTTGCAAATAAACTACTGACAGTCAAATTAGTCTGTTTTGTTAACTTAGTAAAATTTTTTCCAACCAAAAACAATAATTTTCTCTATCACTATATATCTAAGAAAGTGACTGTTGAGTAGAATCTAAACATCATAATAGGACTTTTAACATTAAAGACGCAACTCTTTATACCAATTCGTAACTTGCACATAATCGCTAGACGCAGTTTATATATATATATATATATATATATATATATATATATATA